AGTTGTTGCATGGGGAGCGGAGGGGGGGGGGGGGGTGGGGTGGTAGTAACAGAATTTGGAGGGGGCAGAGCTAATCAGCCTTAGTATAATTCTCATTTATATAGTTCTGGATATTCAAAGGTTACATCTTCTGGGTCTTCTTCATTTTCATTACAATATATAGGTACTACATTTTACATGATTGGTGTCAAAGACCATACCATTAGGTAACTGGTCAACTCGTACCCAAGACAAGTCGTACCCAAGACAACTCGTACCCAAGTATATATTTTGTTTTGAATCAAGCATTGGACTGGGAATGTGAATAGATATACATATTATAATTGTAACATACTGTTCAGAATAGTTTAAAGTTCGAAGAAGAATTTTCGGAAGAAATTGATTTAATTTTATGACATTTTGAGCTGAGTGTCAATTTATATTGACTATTATTTTATATTGGTCACAGATTCAGGATGTTCAAGTGAAGAGACATATGTTTATAATCATTTTTCAAAATATTATATGTTTAGGAGTGTTTGGAACAAGTGTCAGATCTAACGTTGTAATTATATTTATTTATATATATGTTTGACAAAAAAATTTTGAGAACAAGCGCTTCAAGCACTTCTTTTATTTAATAAAAAAAATGCTTTACTGATCCATTGAGAAAAAATGTCGTCTAAATTCAAAAAAATATTGAGGCTTATTTGATTCACCTTATAACATGAAAGCATTACAAACTCAATTTCTTCCCTAATATGCACCCATAATACTGAAAATAAGCTTGGGTACGAGTTGTCTTGGGTACGAGTTGTCTTGGGTACGAGTTGACTAGGAAGCTACCATTACATAAGTGATCAAAAGTAGGCATCATCACCTTCATAATAGTAAATGATTTCCATTCTCTATAAATACAGGGTTTAAGTAGAATTTTCAAGATACATATATATTTATCATTTATACTTCTTGTAATATTATATATATTATATTATACTTCGATGTAATACTTTGATATTTGAACTAAACCAGGCTTATATGGCATATACCATCGCTCGATACTGACCAGTGACATCTGAGTTTTATAGTTATTGCATGAGAGGCAGGTTGAGAGTGGGGGGGGGGGCTAGTAATAGAAACTGGAAGGGGGCTCATAATACTTCGTTCTGGATTTACTAAGGAACATGTACATATTCTAGGTCTTCTTCATATTCATCTCAATATATAGGATATTACAATAAACATGATAGGTAAGTATCCAAGACCAAACTATTACATAAGTGATCAAAAGTGGGAATCTCCCCAACAACAGTATATGGTTCATTCTGTCCAAACAGAGGTCAACTTGAGTTTTAAGATCATCCAGTGATCTCCCCAGGATTTCTTCTTAGGTGGGTACAAAATTTTCATTTTCACAATTTAGACCAAAATTGGTCAAAATATGCCAATTTTTCATGATTTTCTAACTTTCAAGTGGGTGCATATGGATTTTCAGGTGGGTGCAAACCTATTTTCAAAATCTCAGGTGGGTACTGCGCCCACTTGCTTTAATGCTTGGAAGATCACTGTCATCTATACGTCATCTATACTTCTATTATTTAAGAAATATAGACTGAAGAGCAGGTGTTATATTGACAAATACACTCCACATGGCTATGCAAGAGAGTCAGGGGTTCGAAAGCTTTTGTAAGGGGTCATTGTCAATATCACACCTGCTCTGAGGTATATATTTCAATTCAAACATGAAAACTCCACAATTTTTTTTCGAATATTCAACTTATGGTCTGCCATTACTACAGCCCTCTTGATGTCACACATTACTCGTATTACCAAGGATAGTGTTGACATATATACCCCAGGTAAAATGTTGACTTAGTTCACAGTTTATAGAAGGCGTGAATACAGTCATGTTCAAATATAATTTATATAAACCATTTCTCATAAATATGTTTAGTAGTATAGTTTTTACATGAGGTGAGGGTGGGGAAGTGGTTTCAGACCTAGGAGGGAGCTCTACTCCCTCCCAATTATTCTGTTACTACTCCCATCTAGGGCCTGGCATAATATATGCAGCCTTCATACCTTCGCTAGATGAAGTAAGTGCCAGGCTTTGAAGGGGCAGGATAGCACATTTTAAAAAGATGGAGCACCATATTGAGTCCCAGCTGAATGACTCTCAAATCTGCAAGTGTTTAGTGGTATTTTCTCTTGAGAGATTGTTGAAATATCAATATCATGCGATAAATCACAAGAATGAAAATGATCAGACTATAAGAAGGCTCATCTATAGTTGTTATTGTATTGCCATGACTAGACATTCTGATACTCATAGCATCTTTCTGTCTCACCTGAAGGGCTGGGAAGAAATAAAATTTCATGGTTTATCATGATGATCACTAGAAAGAATATGGCATTTCCCACCTGCTACACAGTAGATTTTTTCTTGGCATATTCTGGTCTTATTCAATTAAGTGTAACTGGTATAGTTGCTTCTTGTTTGCATCCTTATTCATGAACTCATTCCAATCTTAAGGGACACATGTATTTCTACATTTGATAAGGTGATGTGCCACCACCCACTTCTTCTCCTATCAGGTTTTCTGCCAGCTCCAGAAACAAAACAACCCATCAGAGAATCCATGGAATTTAGTATGATATTTCCTTAGGGCCCATATGGGCCCAGAGAGTAATATTGTCACAAGGAATAAACACATTTTCAATCCATCTCTCATGTGCATTTTAAAGACTACATATCTTTCATTTATAAGTCCTTCAATCAATGTGTTAGGATAAGCACAGAATACAGCAAAGCGTAGTGCTGGACAACAAAAGAAGACTGATTAATATAATAAAAAAACATTTATGTGAAGTCACAATGTCTTACACCAGCAAAACCACATAAACCAATTGAAAAAGAAGTTTAGACCCCATAAAACAATCAAAGACTATGAAGGAACCGACATCAGTCTTCTTCCACCTTGTCAAGAGCTTACTACAAAGCACTTATCGTGCATATGGCCCATATTGTAAACCCTGACATTCCAGCAGAAGATGGACATGGATCGAAACTGAATGACTCCACCATTGCATTGGGTATTGACTGGTATTCTCAGACAAATGATTGTTGATATAGCACCAGGAGATGAATCAGAAAGACTCCAGAAGATGTATCTTCTGAAATCCAGAACTCTGAAGATGAAATTGATACTTAATGCTGACTTGTTCCCCCAACCCCTCCCAATTCTGTTACTACCCCCCTCCCATACAATAACTATAAACAGTATATTGAGATAACTAAGAAGACCCAGAAAATACTCTATGAAGAAGTCCAAAAGAAAGAATTTATTCCTAAGGCTGATTAACTCTGCCCCCTCCCAATTCTGTTACTAACCTCATCCCTCCTCATGCAATAACCATTGCACTGAGTTGTGCATTATTTACCAGAAAATATAAAGTATAATCAAAGAAGTCCAATGTAAATGTATCTCAAGTCAAGTTTAACTCTGTTTTTATAGAGAATAGCAATCATCTACTCTAGTATGGGGGCGATGCCCACTTTTGATTACTTGTGTAATTGTATGTTCTTTGACACTGACCAATCGTGTAAGTTGCAATATCCCATATACTGAGATGAATATGAAGAAGACCCATGCAGAAGATGTACCCCATGAAATCCAGAAATATGTAGATGAGATTTATACTTAAGGCTGATTAGCTCTGCCTCCTCTCAATTCTTTTACTAGCCCCCCTCTGTACCCCCCCCCCTACATGCAATAATAACTATGACACTTAGATGTACATTATTTACCAGAAATGCTTGATATAAAATATAATCAAATAAGTCTAGTGTAAATGTATCTCAAAGGTCAAGTTAAACTCTGTTTTTATAGAGTATAGCAATCATCTACTATTATGGGGGCGACGCCCACTTTTGATCACTCATGTTATTGTATGTTCTTTGACACTGACCAATCATGAAAATTGCAATATCATTTATATTTAAACAAATGTTTGAACTGTACTGGTTATTTTGAGTGTGCTAAAATGTGCTGATATGTATTGATTCGAAAAATAATCCATATTCTACATGATGTACATGTTCAGGTTTTGCAAAATTAAGGATATTTTGAACGAAAATTGTGGTTTCCATGACAACCATGAGTGACAGAGCATTGGAATTTTACATATTACCTCAGCATGATCCAATCAACTCCCCATAAAATTATTATGATGATTGAAGACTAACAGAATGATTTATTGAGTGATGATAAAGTACCCCCTGTAATTTTCCATTTTAGGGTCGAAAACCTCATTTTGACAATTTTCGCCCCAGATATGGCACGTCAGACAAAAAATTTCTGAAGCATCACATAAAAATACATAAGAAACAAGTAATTTCAATTTGTTCACGAACTAATACATTTTTGGGTGCTAGCTTACTACCTATTAGTAAAGTCTTTAATTTTTGGACATCACACTATGTTCTGGAGGTTAGGCTTCTCCAAGTGCATTTTAAAACGGGTTAAGATTAGGTTTATAAAAGGGGTTAAAACAAAACAGTCCAGCCAGAAGCAGTCAATAGGAGGTACTTAGAGGCTGCTGCTTTAAAAGCAACATCAACATCATGTTGCCTGATTGTGAATGGTCACAGCACAATTCGGCACAACCCAACATGAAACTTTGGCACAACCCAACTTGAAACTTTGGCACAACCCAACATGAAACTTTGGCACAACCCAACATGAAACTTTGGCACAACCCATCATGAATATAATGAAACACCCACTAGCAATCTTTTCAACCAGACACAACCTAGGAGATCTACAAGCGCACAACGCATGCGCAGGAGGAATCAACCCATTGTGAAATGAGAGACATATTTCGACCCAAAAGTCCGAAGTTTTTCATATTCCAGTCATACCATGAACTATTATTCTTTGTGCTTTGTAAAACATTCTACCTAACTCGTGCTGAATTTCACCATATTGAATTGCCTATCATACTTTATTTCTAACTTTCAGGTTGTGTATGGGGTGATTGGGGGACTTGGTCATATAGTGGATGTACTTCAACATGCGGACCTGGAAAGAGGCAAAAAAGGAGAATGCGAAAAAACTTGTTTCCAAAGGAATCATCTAAACAATGCCCAAGTATATCTGTCGAGACTGGATTTGTAGACTGCGAAGAAACTCCTTGTCCCGGTGAGAAAAACAATGCGTAATTACATAAATTAGTAAACTTTCTTCAGTAAATTACAAGGGACGATCAACAAATAACGCAAATAGAGCCATATTTTCAGATCCATGCAAAAACGTAACTTGCCCTTGGCCTGAAATTGAATGTGCATTTATATGGTTATGAGAAAGTTACCTGATGCAAAAATACTTAATATCAAGTATTAAGTACATGTAGCATTTGCGTCATTCAAAAATGTAAGCTGGCAACACGGTCAGGAACCCAACACTGCTTCAGACTTAAGTTTTTGAATACTTGAAAAGAGGTCGAAGTCTCCGCGTATATAAATGGATGTCCATCCGATCGGGAGATCATTTCGCTCATCATATTCTTTGAATTTGAAATTCGTTGCTCTTTCTTATGATGCATTGAATTTGAATCCGAAATATCAAGTGAGTAAACGGAGAAAACCGGCGTCTCAATTTCTTGTCATCACAATTCCAGGAAAACCACACATGTTTATTTACATGTATTGTGAAATGCTTGCTGAATTTCACCATACTGAATTGCCTATCATAATTTATTTCTCACCTTAAGTTTGTGTATGGGGTGATTGGGGGACTTGGGTACATGGTGGATGTTCTTCAACATGCGGACCTGGAAAGAGGCCAAGAAAGAGAACGCGAAGAATCTTGTTTCCAAAGGAATCATCTAAAAAATGCCCAGGTGCATCTGTCGAGACTGGAGTTGTTGATTGTGAACGACCTCCTTGTCCTGGTGAGAAAAACAATACGTGATTACATAATTTGGTAAACTTTCTTCAGTAAATTACAAGGGGTGATGAACAATAAACGCAAATAGAGCCATATTTTTAGATCCATGCAAATACGCAACTTGTAATTGCCCTTGCCCTGGAATTGAATGTGAATATGGTTTTGAGAAAGTTCCCTGTTGCAAAAATGCACAGCATTTGCGTCATTTAAAAATGTGCTCGCAAGACCAGACGGTCATGAACCAAACACAGCTTCAGACTTAAGTTTTTAAATACTGGAAAAGGTCAAGTCTCCACACATCAAAATGGATGTCCATACGTTCGGGAGATTTTTCTTCTTTGAATTTGAAATTCGTTGCTCTTTCATATGAGGAATTGAATTTGAATCCAAAATATCAAGTGAGTAAACGAATAAAACCGAATAACATCATTTTGAAACAAAGACATGGTTCCCTTATCATCACACCACCTTAAGGATATACAATAGGTGTCATGTTCGTGCTCGCGGGGCGTCTTGCAATTGGCGTCCCGGTTTTTATCATCGTACCTAAAGGATAGTTCGATATTGTCGTTAGGTTGACGAGCGGGCGGAGGGCCGGCGGCGGGCAGGTGGGCGGGTGGCGTCCCACTTTCTTGTCATCACAATTCCAGGAAAACCACACAGATTTACTTCAAGAGATTAGAATCGATATTAAGAACTGTATTCAATATAGTTTTTCTCTTAAAACAATTATTGAAAACATTCTGTAAAGAAAGCACGGTCATTTATGTAATGGACACTGATTGAAAACAATTTAATGCGAAAATCATTTACATGTATTTTGTCAACATATTTTAGTTTTTAGTTTTTTCCTTTCTACCAATTCTTGAGAATGAAATAAAATATCTTTCTGAACCTTGTTGAAACAAAAAACAGCATATACAACATTTTTAGACCTTTCAATATTATAGTTGTATTAAGAAAAGTTTGATTGATTTAGCAAAAAGTATTCAAAAATTAAAACAAAAACCCCCAAATTAAAGTAAACCTTTTATTTCATTAACGAGATACTTTTTTTAGATCAACCAAACTTTATCATTCTAGTAATTAATCAGCTGTGCAAGATTGGTGACGGATCAAATATGAAATAATACTTATGAAAAATAAAAATGGGCAGAATCCTTCAATATGATAATAGGACTTAGAGGGCTTGGATTAGAACCTTGAGCAAAGGATCAAAATATGATTTATATAGTACAATCTTTACAGGGAAACCATTATTCTCTGTTGCAACGGTTGCAATTTCCCATACCAGCCGAAGTTTTGAACATGTGAAAACCCTGCATTTATAGAGCTGAGCTGCAATATACTTATATTGTTGCAAGTTTTCTCATGAAAATTTATGTATTACTTTAAGGTTTAAGTAGCGGTAAATGTTGATGCAAATTGAATAAATAATTACAAAGGCGATTTTTAGATATGAAATACAGAAACGAAAGTTTCGTGTTTAAGTGTAATTTTTCGGATAGCCAATGGAATAGAAAGACAGATATCAGCTGGGAGAACTAACATTTGAAACATATAAATGCTGTTTGATTCATTTCATGGAACAGCCCCTATTACAAGCCTTGGTGAAGGCCATGTAAATTGTTCAGCCGACCTTAACATCGACATCCTAGTTCCTTCTTCAATTATCACAAAAGAAAATCTCAATATTGGTGAACCTCTGCATGTTGAGGGCAACAGGGACTGTAAGATTGACTACAATGGAGGTCTTGGAATTTTCGCTGGAGAAATGTCCCTTTCAAAATGCTTCACTCTGATGGTATATCATTTTCTTATACTGCACAATATAATTTAATTAACTTTATAAAACTAGTTTAGTAAACAAAATATATTTATGACGCTGGGTACTTTAACGACCCTTGATTGTAAGTTGCTACTACGGCCCAGCTGTATCGTGGCTTAAGCTTTTATAGCTCAGTTGGTAGAGAATCAGTCTTTGGGTCTTTGCATTGAATTTAGCACAATTTCTTTCAATATATTATCTGGTTTGTTACACTACTTGTTAATTAGTAGTTCCCCTGGGGTGGCCTCGGGTCATTACACTTTTAAAGTAGACGAATTGTAAATCATTCTTGAAATTGAATTGAAATCAAATTTATATATTACACAAAAATACCAATTATGACACTGTTACCATTGTAGGAAAATCAAGATAGCATAATGTATGAAGCCAAAATCATTGGAGGTAATGCGCCAGCTCAGAATGGAGTCATAATCAGAAAGAGTCAATTTGCTTTGGCTGTTATATGCAAATATCACAGATTTGCTGAAATTGAACCAGCTAAATTTGTTGCCACCAGAGGGTAAGATAGCATTCACATGAATGGATACATTTACGAAAGGAAATGTCTTTTTCACAGCGAATATTCATTTAAAAATACAAAAAGCATAATTTGGGTTAACCTTAACAATTTATCCATACCTATTTGGTACATTACGACAGAAATCATGTAAGGTTTCCGTGTCTTTGCCACATCAAAGATATATTTTAAACACAAATGTTAACACATGTCTTAATAATCTTCAGCTCCTACATATTCGTCGCGAGTCAATGTCAATGTTCTATTGAGGCTAATTTGAAAGGAAATTGTTTGCCCTTTTTTAACATTCCATTTGACTAGAAAGACATTTCACTAATGTGTCATTCTTTCTACGCGACATATTGGGTTCTTCAGGAAAGTCTCCTACAAAGATGAAGAAATGGGAGAGTTTACATTTACTCTGAAACTCTATGACAGTGCAAACACCACCGAGGTTCTCTCTCCTGGAAAAGAGGTGAAAAATATGTTATACTACAATTTTCAATTCAATTCAGTTCAACCTTCTTGCATTATCAATGCATTAGAAATGCACAAGATTACTCCCGGAGTCTAATAGCATATTGAATTAATAAAATATTACACTAAAATAATATTAAGTTACAATGTTTTGTTTATGATAACAGGACTTCCTTCCGATTGTGATCTGAAGTAATATTTAAATTATGAACATGGACTTACAAAACGAGGCTGGGAAACCATTACAAAGATATGTTCTTCTTGATTGTTTTAGGTTGCCACGACTGAGAGAGTATATGCTGATGTGCGAATGACAGATGCTGACAATGCTGGTTTGAAAATGGGAGTCCAGAACTGTTTTGCGTCTCCTAGCGAGGACAGAAAGAATGCTATCAACACATACTCCCTCATCGAGAAGAGGTAAATGGGGAAAATAGAGACACAACATTTGAAAAGCAAAAATCTCTTGAAAATTAAATGAATCATTTCAAACCAGCAAAATTTATTCAAAGGTATTTGAGCCAAAACGCTGAAATAAAAGATATTTAACTATTTGGACGTGGCTCACTTTGCGATGCGTGTATTTAGCCGCATATTATATTTACATAAAATATTGTTTTTGTATTTGACTATATACAAGTATGTTGTAAATTATATGTTTACATGTAATTTATTTGTAATTTATTATTTGTGAAAAGTTAATACAAGCAAATTGAGCCACCAACCGCATTGTTACACGTTGTTCTTGGGTAACGTTATAGTATCACATGATAGCGACGTGATATAAAACTATTTGAACTGCTTTGTTTTGAAATTTGATCATCTTTAACTGATTTGTCATAGTGTCATAGCATGATGGTTGTTTTGTTTTCAGGTGTTTCAAAGATGACACCGTGTTCACTGTACGATCATCTGGAACTCAATACAAATTTGGATTCCTGGCCTTTCAGTTCACTGGAGATATCAAGCGGATCTACCTCCATTGTCAGGCTGCCGTTTGTAAAGACGATGATAAAACTGGAGCATGTGACCAACCAAATAAGGTATCCACTCATTATCCATATGTTTGTATTCATTCCTGTTAAGATTTGATTGTGACCAGCAAAAGACGGTATATTGTAACGCGGTAAACACGATACAAATAGATGTCATATTCCGTGACGAATATGGCAGATTCACTTGCGGTAAATGGCATACTCACTAACACCAACCAATAAGAACGCGATACGGAAGTACGCAATTGTCAGTTACGTTGATTTAACGAATAGACAAAAGTTAATGAATAATCATACTGATTACTGAATCAAAAGGTCAGTGCACTGAATATATCAACTTATACAATTGAATAACATACACCAGTGGTACCTGTATTGTTTGATATTATTTTATGTATGTGTTACATTCAAGGGAAACATCATTACGCGTATAGTACTTAAAGGAGCCTATGTTCGTGAAGCTTATAAGTGACTTTTATAACCAAATCAACAGTTGACAATTCAAATCGGGCTAGATAAAAACCTAAAAAATCAGAAGAATTTATGTATTGTTGTATTTGCAATCACGTATTACACATATCTGATACTTTCAAAAGTACCATTCAGCAATTACACGTAATAAACGTACTAAATCAATCCAAGATTTACATATTAGTCAAAGCGCTAACGATATTGGTAATCAAGCGTAGTTTTACATTCAGATAGATTATTTTTACCAATCAAATTGATGCTTTCTGTATCGCTTCTTCACCTGGGGTATATGGCATATTCCATAGGGATGCCATATTCTGCAGGAGAGTATGACATATTCCGCAGTCAGTTTCGGGTATTTACTGAAATCAATGTATCGCATGTTCACTGCAGAATATGCTATATACCGTACTCACTTATGGAATATGCCATATACCGCAGGTGAGTATGGTATATTCATGCATTTCACAAATACCGCATAACCATAAATGTATGCCATATTCCACGTAACGTATCGGGCTAGATAAAAACCTAAAAAATCAGAAGAATTTATGTATTGTTGTCTTTGCAATCACGTATTACACATATCTGATACTTTCAGTATTGCACTTACAAATTATATTTGTAGAGATGTGCAGGATCACTTAAAAAAGTGAGCTATAATAGTCTATCCAATGCAACACGCGTAAGCCCGGCTCAAATCTTTGGAAACAGTTCCTTGATCAGTAAAAGAAGTGTAAACGAGGCACAGATACAAGGATTGGCTGCATACGACAGAATGATTAGGAGCATCCCTATTTCAAGCAATGCAATCACCCTGGAACAACCTGAAAAGTCATTCTCTATTAGAGAGGCATTTGGTGAGACATATTTGATTTTCTTTGTTTCTATATTTTGTTCTATGTGGCATATATTTCTTCTATTTTGATAAACACCAGATAACAATGGTGCCACCTAACATTTTACTTGATATTTAATATTTTACCATAGGTAAGACGTCATGGCCTGTTGCACTGCTGTGTATGGTAGCCCTGGCTTTAAACATCACCCTTGTTGTGGCTTTAGTTGTGCGTAGGATCCGAAAGAGACAGCCTTCTCACTATCACAGTGTACCAGATAATGCCTTCTAAACCGTACATGAATTTGACTGAATGAGCTGTATACAAAATACAACATCAAATACACTGCAATGTCACAATTTAGCATGGAAACAACATATAGCTTAGAGATCTGTGGAAACGGATCTATTTGAACATGGACTTTAGAATTTGATATAACCGTAATTTATAATTTCTTTGAAAACATTTCCCCTCTTTAACTAGACACATATTTTGTTGCTTTTAATAGTAACGATTTCACCAATACTATTTATGAAATCAATACCAGGCGGCAATTTTCACCATGAAAATATTTTCTAGATTTAAAAGTTGATTTTCAGAAAATACCAAAGCTTGAGAAAAGATAGGTATCGATATGGAGAACTGAATTCAACAATGTTTTTCTCTTAAACCAATCATTGAAAACATTCTGTAAAAAACATGGTATTTTATGTAATGTTGACTGATTGACAATTTAATGCGAAAATTATTTAGAAATATTTTATATAACTGTTTTTGTTAACATTTTTTTTAGTGCAATTGTTTTTGCTCCTTTCTACCAATTCTTGAGAATGAAATAAAATGTCTCTCCGAACCTTGTTGGAACAAAATAGCATATACAACATGTTTTAGACCTCTCAATATTAAAGTTATACAAAGGAGTTTTTGGTTGATTTTAAAAAAGTATTCAAAAAATTAAAACAAAATCCCCCCAAAATAGATAAAAATCAAGAAAAACCTTTTATTTCATTAACAAGATACTTTTTTAAAATGAACCAAAATTTCCTTTGTACAATTTCAATATTGAGAGACCTAAACATGTTGTGTTTATGTCGTTTTGTTCCAATGAGGTTCAGATAGATGTTTCATTTCGATCACTCTGGAAACATGATACCACGAACAAAACAAGTGTTTGATGTGTTTTCTAAAACAATATAGATGAAAGTATGTATATCTATTTCAAATTATATTTTTACCATTCAAAAGATGGCCATTAAATTGACAATTTGTAAGATTTTCAGAAATTTTTGATGACTGGTTTAAGAGAAACGTGGGTTTAAAAAGTTCGCCGTATCGAACCCATTCTTTGCGCACGCACATGATTGGAAATTATAAGGCATGTTTGCGCCTTTACTAATATCTATAAGGCATTTAACATAATTTATTGATGGTGTAAATGACAGGTTATTCTCATTTTGGTGCATTTTATTATTGTTCACCGAGTCCCTTTAACTGTTATCTTGAATAATGTGTACTCATTCCTTGATAAATATATATCTTTAACTATTCTGCAAATAAACCACGTCTTTTGTACTAGTATTTGTTCTCGGACAGAAGTAGAGCTGTGTCCATATTAAGCTAACCAAATTTTTAAAAAGCCTACGTTAAACTTTAATGTCCTGTTTAAAAACTCCTATTGCTACTATTGAAAATAGATTCTTCCAATATTCTCCCACTTGAATCTTGAATCTTATTGTTGAGATTTGATAAACTTGATCGAGTTCTGAAATAATGAAGATTTTTCATCTATCCCCATGATATGCGGGTTTTAAGTCAATTGTATCACCATGTTAAGTCAACGAACCCTTGCTAAATTCCCCATTTTCTTTGAAGAACTCAAGTTGATCGAGTCTCAACAAGCATATTTATTGTTCATGTGGGATAGTACTGCTAGAATCCATTTTCAATAGTAAGAATAGGGGTTCTTATACAGGACATTGGGGTTGCTTTTGAGTAGGTTTTGTTGGTTCTAAATGTGCTAAACATCGTTCAAGTTTAGAGTTAAAACCCCACACATGAGCATTATAAGTAACATTTTATCTCATAACGTGTTTTAGCGGGCACTGTAATAGTTAAGTGACACAGTCCCCAGTGTTCATCTGAGTCTTATTTAGCTTGCCTTAAAATGATAATGAAACTGTCATCCCTAGAAACTCTGTTTCTAACCAACCTTGAAAATATTTCGTGATAGATTAGTACTTGCCCTATCGAGGATAAATCTCGATTCATTTATCAAAACTCTTCAAACTTTGTGTAAGCATTACATCTATCAACATTTGGAGTTTACAGTTAAAGTGGTATGAAATTCATTAGACATTTACAAGTCAAAACTAGAAAAACAACAACTCTACGGAGTGGCAAACCCCACCAAACAAAACATGTTTTGACAAATAGTGGCCATCTTGAAAATGTCTTCTTGAACAGAGCTCCTTTGTCCCTGGGTATCAGCATATAAAATTTGAACCAAATCCGCCCACTGGTATTTTAGTTATAAAAGATTATGTTTTTTACAAAATATTATGGCCATTTTGAAATTCAGCTGCCGTATGTAAAAGCTCCTATGTTCCTAGGCATCAGCATGCAAGATTTTATCCAAATCCGTCAACTGGTACTTGGCTTATAAAAATTATATTTTAATGAAAAATGCGGAGAAATCGAGAAATTTTTCTGTAGCAATGAATAGCAGAGCTCATTTGTCTCTAGGCATCAGTATATTTTGAACTAAATTCGTCTACTGGTATTTGCGTTATCAAAAATTACCCTTTTTTATGAAAAATGGTGGCCATTTTGAAATTCAGCTGTATGATGATGTACAATGATAATATTTTGAAATTCAGTGGCCATCTTGAGAATGTCTCCTTTGGCAGAGCTCCTTTGTCTCTAGATGTCAGCATAGAGAATTTAAATCAAATCTGTCAACTGGTATTTGAGCGGCCATTTTGAAATTCAGCTTGTATGTTGAAAATCCCTTCTGGAGCACAGCTCCTACACTGTATGTCCCCGGGCACCAGCATATAAAGATTTACCAAATCCATTCACTGGTATTTGAGTTATCACAGATTACAATTTTTACGAAAAATGAAATCCCCTGCAGAACAGTTCTCGAGCAATAAAGTTCATCTTCCTAATATGTTACAATACCATGATGGTCTTAAAAATAAAAATGGTTTGTTACGCAGTAAACGCAATACAAATATGTCATAGTCCGCAACCAATATGGCATATTCACTTGAGGTGTATGACATGCGGAATATGGCATACTCAATAACCACTGAGAACGTTATACGAAAGTACACAATTGTCGATTGCATATGATTGAATGAACATAAACACTCTAAGCCCTTACAAATTTGGTAATCAAGCGTAGTTTAACATTTAAATTGGTTTTTTTTCAACCAATTAAATCGAAGCTTTCTGTATCACGTTTTGAGTGAGTATGACATATTCTTTGGGTGATTATTGGGTATTCACTGAAATCAATATATCGCATATACACTGCGGAAATGCCATTCTCCAAAACAAATACATACTGGATTTTGCCTAGTTCAAAGATATTTACATTCGAATATTGGAAAATCCCCATTGACCGCCATTATAAACCAGTATCAAGATCTTCAAAAGATTATTTAAAGTGGGACCCAAAAAATAGATTGTAAAGAAGCCGTTCCATCTGTTCTTTCGTTCGTTCGAACATTTGTTCGTTAGTGTGTTCGAGCGATAACTCAGATACCAGTAGACGGATTTGGTTCTATGATAGGCTTATTCTTTATCGGTGCGATACCTCTGCTCGAGAAGGAATTTTCAATATAGCCGCTCAATTTAAAATGTCCACAATTTTAAAATGTTTTTTGATAATTTAGGAGTATTTATTATGATCCGATTCATTTCCGCCTTTGATTTCTCCGATGGCGTTCAGGAGTTCATTCCATATAATTTAATATTCCAGAAAATTTTCAGAAAATTTTCTTATTTTCAAAGATTTTCATTTTTTGAAATTTTTTCATTTTTTCAAATTTTTCTCTCATTCAACAGAGGATTTTAGGTATATTGCTCTTGGCGGTATAAGGTCGTTATTCACCTATCGGAATGATGGTTATTCAACTATCGGAAATATGCCTAGGATGATATTTTATTTTTATTTTTTATTTATTTATTAGGACAAAACGCTTTTACAACAGCGGCACTACTAAAATTTAGTGTGCATCCAAAGAGACTAAAATACATACTTACAATAGGTTAAAATCATTAAAAATACATTTCCTTTAAAAATTCGTAAAAACATTTCTCAAATTTATTTATTTGGTCCTGCCCCCATGTGCCTATGTAAAGTGAATTACCAATTATCCATTGTAGCTTATCATTAAGGCTCGCTGATAAGTATTCACCTACAAGGGCAACGTCACATGAAGATATTAAATTGTTAATGAATAGGTTTCTTTTATCCTGGAGGACGGGGCAAAGGAACAGGCGATGGGACAAAGAGTCATAAGAATTGGATGGACATAATTTACAAAAGCCATCACTTTTATTCCACCTTTTAAGGTCTGTTTCTAATTTAAAGCAACCCGACCTAGCTAAGAATTTTTGTCTCGCTCCTTGGAAGTTGAATGTTCTTTTAGGTATTCTTCTTGAAAGACATATCAACATTCCCATCTGTCACTGCTTTCCCTCTGAAAATATTGATATCATCCGAAGGATATTCCCCATATCAAATCCCTCCTGGTGAATAACTTCTTTCTATTGATTTGATTATAAACAGATCTGATTTTGATTCTATCATTTTGCGAGCAAGAACATTTAATTGTTTTCGTTCATATCAAACACTACCTGTATTTTTCTTACATAGTACTACAGATTTTTACTTCACCTGGATAATTAAAAATATCCACACGCTAACCCTGATAATAATCTTGAGATCATTAATTTTATTTCCAGCTAGATGCTTAAAGTATTACATCTCTTGGTTTTAATTGTCTTATTTATTTTGTCTGTTCCACATCATTTTAGACTAATTGCTTCAAAAAATAATTACCAATCACTTTTAAGACTTTTGGAGTTATTTTTACGGCACTAAAGTAGGCCTGATTTTTGACAGTGTTAGATACTATCTAGTATGTTTTTGACGGTGTTCGAAGTATTTCTTGACGTTTTTCAAAGTATTTTGACGACAACGTTTTCATTGCTTTCAAAGAAGTTTTTGACGGCGTTCAAATAATTCTTATCCGCATTCATTTATTTGGCACATGATTCCATATGGACACTAGTACTCATAAAAACCTAAGATAAAGAAGAGAGGACCCTAGTAAAACATACACAGATGGATCGCGTTCGAAATATAGAATCGTTATCACATCAAAAATGTTAATAAGTAGATGAAAGCCGTCTCCAGATGCAAAAAGCATGA